CAGTCCTTCAAATAATGTCCTAGAACTTGATTTTTCATTTTTTCTTTGTCCCTTCTCACAAAATTCTTCAAAGCCTTAACAAGCCTGTTTTGTAAATCCAGTATAGGAAAATATCCAGGTCACTCTCTTGGTTTGTTATTTGTAAATCCCTTTTAATTATTAAGACATCAACCGGTTTCTTTTTTATGTCCAATGTAGCATCTTTTTCCATCTCATTCTTGTAGCCTGTCATTTTAAATCCACTTTCAGATCAGTCTCAGTCTTGTCAGGTGAAACTTGTTCCTCTTTCATAACATCTTTTAAACATAGTATACATAGAGGCAGACACTCTTAGAATTAACTTCTGGGCCCATTGTTCAACAATATCCTTCAATATGTCCAATGTTAAAATATTTTCCTTCATTCTGTATTAATAAGCCAATTTTAAGTGTTCTACTTTAATTATACATTTTAGTTCCTTCTGGTTCCCTCTAGTGTCCAACCTTCAAAGTCTCATCCTATTATTATTTTTTTAATGAGAATTCAAAACAAAAGCATTTTCCCATGGGAAAGATTCTTATTTATTTATTTATTTATTTATTTATTTTTCACATTTGTCATAATCAATTCCAAAATCTTATTTCAACTCCATCTGGACCCAAACTTCCAAAATCAAAGTTCTAATCACCTTTTTGCTGTTTATTCTAAAAGTTTTTTTTTAAAAAAAAAATCCTTAAACTTGTATTTAAAACTTCTTTCACTAAGGATTGAATGAAACTCACCCAGTGCTGTACAATGTCGATCCAAAGGTTCCTAATAGGTGAAAAGCAGTTAACAAGCAATTTCCAAAAGGAGGCAAACCCAGTGTCCTTAAAATGGTTTGAGCAAGATGGCTATTCCCTCATCTCCCAGAGCTCTAAACCCACCAGAGACTGCTATCTTGTGGTCTCCTCACAAGGAGCAACTGTATGGAGCACCTGTGGGCAATCTCAGCTCCTCTCTTTGTCCAGAGAGGAGTTACGAAGAGCCTATCTATTTGCTGGCTCTTCATTCCACCCCAGTCATCGGCTGTCTTCATTTCACCATTTCTTCCCCAGAAGTCCTTACATGTGAGTGTTCCTAATGAAGCTAAGAAGTACTATCTTGCTTAATTCTACCCAGTGACTCTGTGGTTGAACTGAGTGTAATAACATTCCAATTATTATCATTTTTAATTTGTCAAGAAAGGCTACAGGATTGGCCATTTTCACCATCTCAGCCAATGCCTACTCTATCATCTTGGTTGAGCATTGGGATACAGCAGATAGCTCAACAATCTTAGAAAGGCAATCAGTATTATATCTTCCTATTCATGGAAAGAAAGAAAGGCAGGCAGGCAGGCAAAATCAACAGAAAATGCCAGAGGTCAACATCTTTTTTAATTGTTAGACATGACTATAGAAATAATAAACTTTATTAAAAAAAAAAAGGAACTCTGTTGAATGTCATGCTATCTGATTCCCCTGATACTGCAAAAATGTTGCTCTGAACATTTTCTGGCTTTGTAATGTGCATCGGAAAATCTATTAATTAAAATTGCCTTAATATGATAGCATTTATTTTTGTAATGTGTGCAGTCAGGATGGCACACTGCAGGAAGGAAGAAATCCTTTAGCATGTCTTACTGAAAGAGTGCCAAAACATGTTCTGCTACCAAGATAGAGGGACAGCAGCTGTGTAGGCAAGAAAAAGATTATGAAAGGTAAAATCTCGCCTGAACTTACCCTTAATGAATAGATTTAATCTCCTAATTAGACAGGCTGTACATAGTTAATTAAACACTGATTGTGCAGCTAGCATTACCAATATCAAATGGAAACAATCATAAGCCTCATCAAGAAAAATGTTCATATTAGCAAGGAGATACTTTCTGGTAATTCAAATCTCTGAACTTTTGAAATGCTCTTATTTCTTGTAAGCATATAGCTTTGGAAACAATTTAACACCATCTGCTGGTGTTTGGCATATATGTGCTGATGTTTATCCTCTCTCTTTCAATAAAATTAATAGAAGTTCTATATCAAGGGGAAAAAAGATGGTGGGAGACAGAGAGAATGGAGATTAGCCAGATCCTGGGGGGCACTCTGGAAACTGCATTATGTTTGGCTTGCTTGGACAATATAATTTAATGAACATGTTTTACAAGGAACATTTTCAAGCATGAATTTTCCCATATGTGACTTAACTATTTAACATCCTAATCCACAGTCCAGTTAAGTAACTATATTTGGATTTATATTAATTCTGCCCCACAGGTTTCTTCAGACTGAGAAATGATTTAACTTGAAAGCACTTTGGCTGAACTAGTTTGTAGATCATGCTGCAAGCATTACATTCTTGTGGCAAGCATTACACAAACAGAAAACTAAGATCATCATTGTATGTATTACTAGAATGCACTAAATGCAACCCTTTCTCTAGTCATCTTAATTCTTGTATTTGCATATTTCTTGAAAATATAAAATTAGGAACAAAAGGAATAGTATGTAACCACTTCATATGATACAACTCTTAAATGCTGGATTATAAATGTCTATATAAGAAAATAAGAAGACCTACAGGATCTGCCTAAAGGCTTATCTTGTCCAGCATTCTGTGTAACACATGGCCAACCAAACACGTTTTGGAAACAAGCACGGATAGGAGGGTGATAGCCCTTTTCCACTGTTATCTAGTAGTTTGTAATTAGAGTGTGTGATTGTAGCAAGATCTGAAAAGCAAGACAGTAAACTAGATTAAGCTGTGTTTAGCAATCCTGGATTAGAGGGCTTGCTAATCACAGGAAACGTAACAGTCTGTTTCCAACCATCCAAACTAGGGTTTGAAGGTACAGAAATATTATTTGTGATAGAACCATAATTTATGTAACCCCACAATAATTTTGCAGGTTAGATCAATATTACCTTAATTTTATAGATGACAAACCAGAGGTTGAGGGACAGTGGATTTCTAAGATACTAATTTCATACATGGTACTGTGCGAGTTGAACTAGGATTTTCTAAATTCATAGTTTAAATTATTTTAGGTTAGAACTTTATAGTCAAAACCCCAGGCTAATATTTATTGCACAGGATGGGGTGACCCTGGAGAAACAACTAATATTTATAAAATTCATAAAATCTATGAAATAGCAAATGTATGCCAAGCGTATTTGCACAACCAGTGTATCTAGGATAACAGATTTGTTAATGAATTCAGGAGAATAAATCAGTAGCAGAGATGAAGCGAGTAAAAAGAAAGAATATCTGGTCAATTGGGCTGGGTTTCTTAATTCACCTCTTTCATCTGAATAAATTTGTGTAACAAACTGCAATGCTGGATTGTACAGCAACCTTTAATTATACAAATAACATGTGAACACCCACCCATCCACCCACACACACTAGAATTTACTTATACATTATACTTATAAGCTCTAGAAGATTTGGCTTGTGAATTCTGTTATGAAAATCTTAGACAACAGTCCCCACAGTCCATCTCTGCATGTCCCCCAACTTCCAAAATGTTTTTTGTGTGCACAGTCTAATGGCATAGAATTTGTCTAGCAGCCTGGCCAGATTTCAATAACACAATAGCAAAGATTTCCACCAATTTTGGATTATTCTCTTCCTCATTAGAAGCTCCTCTACTTCATCCTATCTGATGCACAATGGCCAATCTCTGGCTCTCCCAAAAACTTTTTATGGAGTGCAATAAACTTTCCTCCTTAATGTTTTGAGTTGACTTATTTTAGGATCCAATTCATTACTGAAAACAACAAACAAAAAACACAGCAGCAAATCAGTAGGTGAATAAACAAATCAGTTACAATGTACCTGTTTATCAAATGCTACCCATGAAGGTGCATCACTTCCAATACCTCTAGGAAATACACTATACTTTGGTTTTAGTTTTTGTCCAAGCAAAGGTTCACCTCCTATTCCAGGTTTGTTTTCTCCCACCAACATAGAAACCTTATTGCAGTAACTCCAGTGTTGAGACTTATGGAACTTTTCTTTTCCTAGCTGCAGTCAAAATGAAATAAATATATTTAGAAAACAAAGAAAGTAAGACAACTTTTTAAAAATATACAAAACAATTTTAAGAATAAAAACCTGACATGTTCAAATCCATAAAACATTATTAATAATGGCAAAATAATGATAAAATCAATTTTAATTTAAACTTTTTATACCAAACATTTGGTCAAGTTGTTATTTAGATATATTTCCCTACGTAAGGTAAGCAACAAGGTTTGGTCCAAGGGCTACACTCAGTCTTTGGTAAGTTGAGGGCCACACCAAAATGAGGCTAGAGTCAAATCAAATTGCTAATGATTTCCACCAGCAAATTAAAGTCGTTCTAGAAGCTGTCCCAAAGCCTCAGAAAGAAAGGGTTGCACACAGCTCACTGGTTATTAAATACCTGCCCTGCACTGAATAACATCTGCTCTGAAATACAGTAACACCTCAAATTACCGGGGGAGTGGGGATTCCATTAAATCTGAAGTTGAATTACAACATTTATGTCAATTTACATAATTACATATTTGATATATATGGCATCATTTGCAGTAAAACCTCAATTTAATGAACAACCTTCATTTTAACAACCGTTAATCTGTTAAATGTGGGCAATATCAAAGTAAAAATATGTTTGGTGGATTCTAAAGTCCACTGAATTAAGATTCACTAAACTAAAGCTTTACTGTAGTTTCATTAATCTCATCTGCTAAATAATTCCACTAATTTCTTGATGAGGCAATGAAATGGCATAATATGTCTTTTCCCAAAACCATCTGAATTGAACACAGTATTTTTAACCTAACATGTATTTAATTATTTTTAGACTGCTTTTCATTTCAAGAAAGATATCTCAAAATGTATAAAAAGTGAAGTTAAAAACAGTTAAACTTTAAATAACATAATTTTAACAAATAAAAGGTAAAAAGTGTTGGATATTTAAACCGTTCTGAAAGCATGCTTGCTTTATTTATTCATTTATTTAAAACATATCTATCCTGCCTTTCCTCCACAAAGTTTTAGAAAGCTCACAAGAGAAAAACAACAATAGCAGGAGAATAACTCAACAGCAATAAAAATATTTAAAAAGCAATTTCATTTAAATAAAAATCAGGAGTAATATTTTAAATGAAACCCTAAGCGGGAAGGTCTTCACCAACTTCAGAAAAGTTAGTAAGGAAATTAGATTTTTTTCTTTTCAGAACAGAGTTCCAGATCTTACAGCACACTCAATGCTCCAGCAGAAAGGCCATGCATCTGTAGGACTGAAGCAGCAAGAAGGTCCTGGAACCGAGGACTCGGAAGGAACCTGCATAGTAACCAGTTCTATTATCAGTGCTGAAGTGTTGTATATTTTCAGCCACATTTAAAGGTGGGACAAGACTGCATGATGCAGAGTCCATTCACCACTGGCAAAGCAGAGGTGTATGAATTATGAATGCAAAGAGGGGATTTGTAGCAGAGCTGATTACTAGCTACGACTTCTATCAAAGAGTCCTCAGACTCTGATTAAACTAGTGACAATGACAAGTCATGTTACATGTTAAGAATGCTCTTTCCTTTTTTCAGAAAAGTGCTCACATGAGATCCTGGTTTAGATTAGCACCAGAATATTTTTGGTAATAGCAGATGGATGGGAGGGGATGTATTGATTTTCAGAAGAAAATCAACATTGTGGTTCCAATTTAGATCAAAGCCTTCCTATAGCTGCTTTTTCTAGACAAACTGTTGAGACCAGCATTTAATATATTGTAGTACAGTATGATCATAGTTTTCACTCCTTAAAAGAACTTATTTGTCAAGTGCTCCTATAATGCATTTTATATATTAGGTCTTTACAAAACTGCAAAAAGGAGAAATAGTACAGCTATCTTCACCCACAACAGTAACTGTAAAAATGTCCTCCTATCCACTGGATACTGTCTGTAAGACATTTTCAGACAAGGGCTTTGTGTGCTTTAGAATCAGCTCTGCACTTGTGCAGCTGCACAATGTTTCCTGACTTTAAGAACAGAGTCATTTATTTTCTGCCTCCAATACAGTTTATCTGAAACTGAAATAAAGCTAGTTTTTTTTCTTTCCAAAGCTGCAGCTCTGGGGTAGTTTGTTCTCCCACTGCTGGAAACTCCCACCTCATCCTGCCTCCTGGCTCCTGGCCTCAATACAACTTTTCCAGATGCCTGCATGTCTACAGGTATCACTTAGCATGTGTCTCCCTTATTCAAGCCACTGCAATAGCATACAACCAGGCTTAAAGCTACTGAAGAAAGAGCCTGACTGCGAAATTCTGATATGCTGCCATTTCACCATCACAGCTTGGAAGAGATTTTTAAATCCAGGAGAAGCAATGACGTTGCAGTCAGCTTTCTCCCTTTTTTGGTGGGTGGGGGAGAAACAAACAAATAAATGCACTAAGCATAAACTGAAAATGATGGAGTTAGGGTAACCATTTCTTTTATTTTCTTTTAATATGGAGAAAGGACCTGGACTTTTTTCTTTTTCTTTTTTTAGCACAGAAGCTCAGAGGGTAGTGATCTGTAATTTCTTGCACTCTTGCATTGGTCAGCTAGAAGTGTTCATTGGCTCAAGGTGAAACTGCATGTCCACAGCATTTCAAGTTCAGAAGAAGAAAAGATGATGGAGTTTGGGTCACCATCAAAGTGCTCTAAACCTTTGGGTGGTAGAAGGAAGTGGTAGCTGTTTCAACGTGTAAATGGCCTCTTGGAAAATATTTCACAAAAGTCAATAGCAGTAATGAACTTCAACAGTACATATACTACCCTTAGGACTACATCATCCTCCCTCAAATTCTATCTACACACCAAACAACAATGGAAAGGTGATGGCTGGCTTGACCAGGCAAAGGGGAAAGAAAAGCCTGGGGTGCGTACTCTGCTTTTCCTTCCTACTCTGCCTGATCAAGTCAGCTGCTGCCATGTCCAACCAAAGGGGCTAAATGCCTGAAGGATGGTTACAGAGCATATGAACACCTTTTGTCCAAAGAAAAAAATGAAGGTAAATATCTGCTTGGATAATAATTCATCACCAAGGTCCCGGTAGAAACACATGTAAACATCTATTAGTTCATTATAATGTATATGCTAAATAAACAAAGTCTTATAAAAACCAAGAAAACTGTCTTTTAAAATCTGGAGCCACAACAAAAAGAAAAAACTAACAAAAGATACTCAAAATTGACATAATCTTAAATTAAAAGCTAAGAACAAAATAGAATGGTGATATAAATCTATCCTTTATTGAATAAGACTTACTGAGTGGATTAATGTCATAGAAATAGAAATAATTATCTTAGTAGTGTGCCTTCATTTCACAAGAGCTAATGCCAAAATTTATCATGTAACAAAACACACACCTGACTTTGCAGATGTAAAGTGGTACTTCTGTTGATAACAATGCAAATATATTTGGACATGCTCCATGAAAACATACACATGCATTTTAATGATGGCATACATTACAGACAAATACGCAATAATGACTTAAGAAACTATTAAACTATGTTTAATTGTACCATGCACCTTAATGTTTTACACAGACTGAAAGAGTGGACAGCTACACTTTTGGTAAATTCAAATATTAATAAGGGTAAGATTACTGAAGTATGTGGGGTTTTTTAATATAAAATATGTTTACATATGTGTAGATGAGTAGCAGGGCAAGGAATGAAATTTACTGAAGATCTACTGCCAGTCAGCTGTAAGATCAGTATAGGTCATCTCCTTGTATCAGAAAGTTACTGAAGAAAGGCAGGCTACACATTATTCTGCCAATTTCAACAGTGAAAGAAGGGTAGAAATTAAAAAAAACTGATTCATCCACTTTCTCCCTCCCCTAGGTGCACACAGCTCCTGTTATCTCACCACATTTCTAGAAAGGATTCCCAGAAATCAGGTTTAGCCTCCTCTTTACCCAGATGGCGCAGGTCCAGGAAGCAAGACGGGATTGTACCATGTTGGAGAATCCTATAAATAGTCTGAGACCTGATCAAAGGGAGACTCTGAGTTTAGCTTCTGGAGGGAAGAGATTCTTTATTTTGGTGGACGGCAGTTGTGGGGCATTCAGAATCAGTTTCCAGAACGAAGTTTACACACGTGGACAGGCATCCCCACAAAACATTCTGTAACCTAAACTTAGGGAGCCCCTGGTTGCCGTTGGACCTCAATCAACATTACTTACATTCCTGTTAAAAGAGTTCCCGGGCAGGAGCGGTAGCGCCATAGTTGTGCCCGTCCTGCTTGCCGCGCCCCCCGCCGCCTCAGGGCTGGTGTTGCTGCCCGAACCCGGCCGGTCGCCCTCCGCGCTACCAAGGCCGAAGGAAGCGCAGCCGCGCTGTTTGGAGTCCAGTTGCCTGGAGACCCCCGTTTGACGTCACATAGGGTGGCGGGGAATGGTGCGTTCGCTTCGCCCCAGCTCTACGTTGCCCCCTGCAGGCCCAAGACTCTCTGCCGCAAAACCTGCGGGGGAGGGGGACGGGGGCTGCTGGATCGCGCTTTGTAGTTGCGGTGCCCGAAGTTCCATCTACTGCCTTGGAATGATCTTTCCTCCTTTCCCTTGTACATACCCGAAGGGATTATTGCCACCTCAGCTCACAAATTAGTTAAATGGACGTTTTTATTGAAATAGGCCAGTTCTGGATGGACATAGCAACACATATCACTTTTATTACATTACAGTTACAGTTACTTTATATTGTGTCTCATCCTTATTACATTATATTATGAGGTATAAGTAATACAGCTGACTTCAGAAATTCTGAACCTCCCTATTTTTACTTAGGAGGCATCTTCCCTGTTGGGAAAGTCTTATCTCCCCCCTCCTTTTTTTTTTAACTTGGAACTCTTGAGTCAAAAATTTTGTCAGCACTGATTTTGCTTTTTTGTTTTCTGTTCACTCCATGTGTGATGAGATAATATCAATCAGCCCTGCTGTGAATGGTCACTGTTCTTTTGCATATATTTAGGCTGGAATCCAATATATAACCTGGGAAAGGAACTCTTTTTGAAATGAATAAGATGACAACTAGACATTCTAGGATGGTTTATTAAGCCATAAAATAGTGCAATTCACTGAATTCACTTATATATATTTGCTATACCCACCTGTAACCTGCCAAGTGAAGATATCAGTTTTATTTTCACATTTGATGAAGTAAATACTAATCCTTAAATTGTTCCCTATCTTTTGTTTCCCTCTCTCTCTCTCTCTCTCTCTCTCTCTCTCTCTCTCTCTCTCTGGTCTTTAAAACATTACAATTTTTTTCCCTTACCTGAGCCATAAAAATGATATTGAAAACAAATTCATGTTGGATCATTATGCCAAGCCGTTAACATTAAAAAAAACCAAAAACCTCCTTGGCACCATCATTTTAATTTCTTGTCTTTCTCACTGCTAAAGAAAATTAGAGAACAAATTAAGTTTATATATACATTGGCTTCTATGGCATTCATCCTCTGATAGTTGTGGATGGACATGCTACCCCCCACCAATGTTTTTGACTATAAAAAATCAATTTCCTCCTAACAATTTAAAAAATGTGTTCTATCATTTGTCAAGTGAATAAATATACTTTTGTCAACATTTTATTAAGTAAATTGCAAGTGAGAATATATGAGCTATAAGTGAAACAATTAACAATCTGCAAAACATGTTATTTGCTCAAGCTCATATGCTTCTCTCCTTCTCTTGTTCTCTTTCATACTCTGTACAGAAATGGAACATAGAACCTCAGTGGATTTTAGGCTGTGCAGAAGACTTCTTTCTGCCCATTCCTTCCCCTCCCAATGTCTCAGACCTTTGACTTTCCACATAAGCCACTGTGGTGTTGTGGTTAAGGGGTTGAACTACAATCAGCAAGACCCAGGTTCAAGTCTTCCCTTAGTCATGGAAATTCATTGGAGTGTCTTTGACCCAGAGTCTCAGCACAAGCTCCTTCACTGGGTTGCTATTCTGGAGGCAAAATAAAGACCCTCATATAAGCCACCTGAAGCTCTCTGAAGAAAGGCAAGATATAAATCTAACAAATAATATTAATACAGTATGATGTGAAATATGACTTGGCACTTATCGTGTAACCTTAAAACCAGCTGACAAAGTGCTGCTAATCATGTGTGTCCATCTTTATTTGTTCTTTGGGGTGTTCTCCAGAATGTTTTGTTTTCATGTCATTGAATTTTATACATGTCTATAATGGCTGCAATTTTCTTCCTCAAAAATTGTTATCAAGCAGAGTTCAATAGGATGGTCAGTTTTACAAATGAACTGGAGACATGTTTTCTACAGTTATTTATATTCCCATATCCAGTCAGCATGATTTATGAACTAAACTAGAAAAGCTGGGAGGAAGATTGCTGTTGTACATGAATTCTTCAGGCAATACTATAACAAGGCCTTAATGGTAGAACACATGCTTTACTTGCAGGTCTCGGTTTCCACCTCCAAGCAGAGCTGGAAGATCTCTTGCTTAAAACTCCAGAAAACCATTGCCAATGAGGGCTCTTCCACATCACCATCTCCACCCCAAATCCCTTACAAACTATCCAGCTCACAATCATTTTCACTTCTGTTGACTTTGAAACACAAAAAATATGCAGGACTCTCAGTATTTGCTCTTTTTTTCCCCCCAGCAGACCAGTTGGAGAATGCAAAGAATCTCCTATCCTCTGAGTTATCACCAACTGTGGCATAACAAATACCCAAACCATATCCCTACGATGAAAGAATACATGGCTGCAGTAGTCAGAAGGAAATATAAGACTAACTAGGCTCCTTCTTATTAGAAAAGTGACCAAAAAACAGAGAGAACTTGGGGGAAGGGGGTTTAAGAGAAGAGAAAGGCAGGTGACAGTAGGCAGAAAAAAAAAAAGAGGAAAAGGAGATAACAAACAAACATATAAAACAAAAGGAATGAGCAATATTGGTGACAATCATTTTGTGATGAAGCACCCAGAAGGAGATTTGTTGATGTACATTTTTCTAAAGAGAAACAGCCTGTATCTTATATTATCTCCTCTTACAATAAGATAACATTAGTATAAGAACTCTAAGTTTATCATTTTGTGGTGATGGCAGCAAAACTTCAAATTATATTTATCCCAAAATACTTAGAATAAATTGTCACTTTTGACCAAAAAAAGCAAGTTTTGTGAGTCAGTGGTAGTTTGCAAAAAGTCTGAGAGGTTGCTATGGTAGAAGCTATTTGAAGGAAGATCAAATGTTTTCAAAAAATAAGCAAAAACACCGAAAATCTTCCAAAGGCTTCCCAACCATCTTGTTGCCATACTTCTGTTGGATGTAAAAGCCCCTATGAGTTGTACGCAGGTAATTTTGCAGCCAGGTATTTTCCAAATGATCATGACCATGGTTGCATTATGATATGTGCATGGATGGAGTAGGGGGATAACTTTTGGACAGTGCCTACAAGAAGAGAGATGTTCAACAGCCTCTATAGAGGCTGGAGAAAAAAGAGGATTGATGGCTAGCTTGTGCTCAGGAGCTGGGAAAGAAGGTGAGGACAGATTTTTGACCAATGAAAAATAGACTACCAAACAACAACAACAAAACACCTAGCTTTGCAGAGGTTTCAAATAAACCAAAGCAGAATCTGACATAAATTGACTTCCAAATGAAGGGATGAGATTTGATCTCAGAGTGATGCTAAATACTGGTTTGGAAATGCCCTTACTGTTCATAATTCTAGAATAAATGAATCAGATATGTTATGTTCTTATATACAGATACTTTCATTTCTGATCTTCATGAAGACGGACCAGTGAAAACATTATAGGCTCCAGTCTTCTACAGTGAAGACAACAGCAATACAGCAGTTAAGGAGTTTGATGAAAGCAGCCAAGGTAATAAACAGTGTATGCACGATTTAGTGTGCAGGGGATGTCAGGTGACATCATATATTCAAAGAACACTGAAGAGCAAGTCCATATGATCTTACACCCATTCAGCCATGATGAATTCAGCAGCCACATACTCCATAATTTAATTCAAGTGCAAGTGGCTGGGGAATTCTGGGAGTTGAAGTCTACCCATCTTAAAGTTGCTGAGGTTGAGGAACACTGATCTAGACTCATTTTTTTGGCCTTTTTCAATATCATCTAACAATATAAAAGCATCGTTTCTAGTCTGATGTGAGACCCCTGCTTGAAACATGCTTCTCATTGCTTGATTCCACAGTCAATGACAAACATGTATTTGTGCGCTGTACATGATGAAATTTATTTGTTACTTATCATAACTAGTGCTTTTCCCAACAACATGAATTGTGAATGAAAGCCTAAAATTAAGTCATTGTGTAACTAGCTGAACTTCCTGGGAAACCATTTTCTTCCCTCTTCTGTGGCTGTATTACAAGAGATCATTCCTGCTGAGTGACATGAAGCTAGCAGCAGCTGCTTTCCCTATCAAGCAGTGATCTCTATATCCCACATTTCATTCTTACCCATTACTTTCTAAGCAGACAGACTTATTTCACATGAGTCTGTTATACAAACTTTGCAGCGAGTGAGGCTTTATATCTTGGTCTTCATACAATTTCCATGTGAAAATACAACCTTCAGTTCATCTACAATCCAATCATTGTGTCCTTTCAAAAGGAAGCCAAGTGAAATAAGTTGCTTTTCCATATCGCAGTTTTGTTTTTTTCCATCCGATTATCATTTCTTGTAGCCAACTGATAGTGGAATGGAAGTCAATTCTAGTTCACAACTTGTTTGTTAAAAAGAAGTGACTGGATGAAACAAACTGTTTTATAAACAATGCGGACTTGGGAAACACTAATTTAAAAAATGCATTTCACATCAGTTGTGATTTAACTTTGCGTTGGTAGAGCTTAGTAAACTAATGCAGGTATCCTATCCGCATATCATTTGTACTTACTGCAAAACCCTATTTCTTTTCCCTATCAAGACCAAAATGCCTTGTTTTTTTCCTACAAACTAATCCTCTGCATTCTACATATATTCAGGATGCCCTTTTGCAAGTTACTTTACAAGCAGGAACAGGGTTAGTGGGCTTTATTTGCTGGACTATTTTGCAACAGAAATATTTTGTGGTAATTTCTGTCATGGAAGTCTGAATTGTGATTCGGCCAATATTCATTCCTATAACTACTACCAAAGATAAACAAACTTCAAAGCCACTCTGCCTAATTAAGGCTGAATCATGATAAAAAATACGTTGAATCACTCACAACATATGTAACACATCAGACCAATTCGTGGCAAACAAATTTACCTCACAGAGACTAAAAAGTCAAGTCAACTTTCTGTGTT